TGCTTCCTCCTTGTTTTATTTTTCACAGCCCGCCCCACACCAAACTCTTATGCTCCTAAAATTAAAACAGTAGTAACTATGGGATAGGAGAGTAGAGATCATGAGACCGTTTTCATCCAAGTAACCTAGAATATCATTCTTTCTTTGGGAAGGTAAATCATACAATGAGGTCACCAGTGCATAGTGGGAGGTGGCAAATAAGGAAGTTCCCCAAACTAGTGGTGGAGATGGTAACTGTGAAAGAAGCCAGAGCAGTAAGTGATGTCTAGGCCCCTGCTCTGCACAAAGATGTAGATCTCCAAGGTCAAGAGGGACATTTTTCTTCTACTAAAATCCTTCTTTGAAAAATGTCCGTGTTTCGCATTTCGGCTTCCTTCTCACAGATTCCACGTCTTACTTTCAAGAATTCTTAGTACTCAGGCGAGGTGACGGAATGCTTCCTACTTCCCCTTTGAGGGCCGGGAGAGGACACTTAGTTGTAGAGAAACCACATTTTAAAAAATGCATATACTATAAATATCACAGATCTTTTGATACATGGGAAATGTGAATCCCTGAAGTTCATGAAGGATTTCCATGGATGCAGGAGCTTTTATGTTGAGATCAGTGACATATTATGTTATATATTTTTATGAGGTAGCTGAGCCCAGACTCAACATCGAGAGTGAGTGCAGAATGGAGAAAGGGATCTTTGATCATCTTTAAAGTCAATAGTCTCCCTTTGACTGTACTTGGAAGTATTTCATTTCATGTAAATTCAAATACAGGCCAGGAAAGAGTAAAGCAGAGAGAACAGTGTTATCTGTTGGCTTGTGAATGTTTACTTTCCATCATTTTAAAAGGACATTATGTTAAAAAAAAAAAAAAAAGTTTCCAAGAGCATAAGAAAAATCCCCTCACCACCTCCATTTTATCCCAGCCACATTCTCCAAAAAGGGAAGACAGAGAAGGAGGAAGGACAACCTAAGGAAGAATCAAAGTATCTACAGACACTTCTTCTGGGAGGGATTTCTGGTGAGTAACAACATTCTGTGAAGTCACCTCTAAAAGGATGAGATATGGGTTTTTGTTTTTGTTTTTGTTTTTGTTTTTAAGAGACAGGGTCTTGCTATGTTGCCCAGGCTAGAATGCAGTGGCTATTCTCAGGCATGATCATGGTGCACTACAGCCTTAAACTCCTGGTCTCAACTACTCCTGCCTCAGCCTCACAGGTAGCTGGGACTACAGGCACACACCACCATACCTAGCCTAAGGAGTTATAGCAAAGGTGATCTGGAAAGGGTCCTCACTTTGCAAACCCCACATAACAATCCAGACTTCTCACACGCTCTGTATGTCAGCTAGTATTATTTTCCTATAACTGATCAAATAAAGGGGAGAAGCTGGCTGGGTGTGGTGGCTCACGCCTGTAATCCCAGCACTTTGGGAGGCTGAGGTGAGCAGATCGCTTTGAACACAGGAGTTTGAGACCAGCCTGGGCAACATGGTGAAACCCCATCTCTACAAAAAATATAATAATTAGCTGGGCATGGTGGCACACGCCTGTAATCCCAGCTACTCAGGAAGCTGAGGCTGGAGGATGGCTTGAACGTGGGAGGTGGAGGTTGCAGTGAGCCGGGATTGTGACACTGCTCTCCAGCCTGGAAGACGGAGTGAGACCTTGTCTCGGGGGGATAAAAAAAGAAGGGGGAAAATCCTCTTTAATCTTTTAGATTCAATGTAGCCCCTCATGAAACCAGTCTGTTTGCCCTGAAAGGAGTGTCCATCGCACTCCAGTTATGCAGGAACTGTGTTAGTCTTGTCCACTGTTTAGCCAGTGCCTTGGGAATGAGGATGGCTTGCGGGTTCTCAACTCTGTGGCAGGTACTGGGATGAGGAGTTAGCACTGATGGCCGCATTTGATATCGAAAAAACCTTATGAAGCAGATACTGTAAGTAGCATCTCATTTAGGAGATGAGGAAGCTAAGACACAGAGACGGTGAGAAAGTAACTTAAGGTAGCTCAGCAATCAAGGGCCAAAGCCAGGATTGGAATGCAGGCAGTTTGGGGTCTGGAGTGTGCTCTTTTAGCCTACAAACCACTCTGCTTAGCACGGACTCTATCACCAGACGGTGTGGACATCTTAGCAGATACAGGATGGCAAAGTGCCTCCCGGGAGAGGGAGATGAAGCTGAGAAACAGAGACATTTGTATAATGGAGTACAATGTAGCCATTACAAGAATGAGGTAGAGCTTATATCAATGGAAATGGGACAATCTCCAACATGCAGTATTAAATTTTTAAAAAAGAGCAAGATGAGCATAGGTCTGCATTGATGCTTTTGTAAGTATAGCATCTTTCTGGAAGGTTATGTCACTCACTGAGGGTCCCTTCTGGGTAGGAAACAGGGGTCTGGGGAGCTAGAGGTTTGGGATTAGATAAAAACACTTTGAGTCCATGTTCATTTGTGCAGTTGGAATTTTTAAAACCATGTGTAAATGTTCTTTTTCAATATAAAAATCTAATTTACAAAGGAGTCTGTTCTATTGGAAGAAGAGGACTTCTGCGCTGGTGAATTGAAGCAGCTGCTTGTCATGACCACGCAAGGCCTTTCTACTCCTACATTAGATAGAAAGGAATTTTGACTTTGAGTCCATCTTAATCTTGGCCAAAAGCAGTTTGCCGCATGCACAAAGATTTCTCACCTCCCCGAACTTCCGGGATGCTAAACATCATCAACTACTTCTCACTGGCCATCCCCCAAAGGGCCTGGACCGTGTACGGCATGGAGGATGCTGAAAGGTACTTGAGTGTTTTTTTGAGAACTGGCTGATTGTGTGAGCATTTACCTCTTCCTTGAGGGCAGGGCCACAGAGTGGAAGCCCACAGAGAGGGCAATGAATGACTGGTAAATGGGATCTAACTGCAGGTACATTAAGAATCACAGAAGTTTAGACTCAAAGTGTTTTAAAGATTTGTCTGGCCTGGTCCAGGCACGTTGAGGAGGCACTGAGTGGATCTCTAAGCTCCTGGGGGAGGCTCGCTGCCCTTCCTGCTATCCCAGCGCTCCTCGAGCTCTCCTTTGGCCAGCTGCAGAATGATCTGGGTCCTGTGCACAAAGACCCAGGCCAGAGAGGAGGGCCTCACACGATGGGACATGTTTCCCAAGGCCAAAGTTAGGATTTGCAGTATCAGGACACAGCAGCTGCATGTTGCATGTGTATGATGTTGGGGAAAACATTCAGAATAACCATGTCCCTACTTTTCTCCTGGAAAACCTCCTACAACTCCTGAAGTTGTGCTGTGAGGTCTGCAGTTGAGAAGGGAGCACCAGGCAACCAGCCATCTCCTCGCTCATCTAACATTCTGTTCTCTCTCCCTTCCTCCCTTCATTTTTGCCAGCTCATTCCTGTCTTCTCTTTGTCCCTTCTGCCTCCTTCCCTCCTCTGTAATCGCCTCCCATTGACACAGTTATCCAAGAAAGAACCTGTTATCTTTTTTTTTTTTTTTTTGAGACAGAGTCTCACTCTGTCACCCCGACTGGAATGCAGTGGTGTGATCTCTGCTTACTGCAACCTCCGCTACCTGGGATCAAGCGATTCTCCTGCCTCAGCTTCCCGAGTAGCTGGCACTACAGTCGCCTGCCACCCCGCCTGGTAAATTTTTGTATTTTTAGTAGAGACGGGGTTTTGCCATGTTGGCCAGGCTGGTCTCGAACTCCTGACCTCAGGTGATCCACCCGCCTCGGCCTCCCAAAGTGCTGGGATTACAGGCGTGAGCCACCGTGCCTGGCCAAAGCTGTAATCTTAACTTTTATTTTCCCCCATAAATTGCAGTGGCTTTCCATATCAATATTTACATTTAAAAGTAAAATTCCATAAGTTATGAGGAACTGCCACTTAAAATAAGAAAATGGTATATTTCATAACCAGAACTTGCTCTAAGAATTTGCAAGTAGATTAAACTATCTCTTTAATTTGTCATGCCTAATGTGGTGAGAGAATTAGTTTATGAGGTTGTAAAACTTGAGACAGCTTTGCTTCAGTAATCTACATCTCATTATCAGAAATATTTTGAATTCTTTTAACGAGGTGATAGCTAAGTGGTTTCTTGCATCATCTCACATAAAGGACAGTTGCTTCTCTTGGAGCTGTTTTAAAAAAAAAAACTTAGCAAAGTAGTTAAGTGAGAGATGCTGAAGGGAAACTGCTGCCTTTTTTTGTGATTAATATTAATTTGCCCAATAGGCTAGGAAAAGAACTGAGTTTCTGCTTCAGCTCTGGTTTTGAAAAAGGTGAAAATTCTTGAATGAAAAGCTCCAGAATGTGCAGAAAATGATCTGAAAGTTATTTAACTGGAAGTGTGAATTGAAACTCCCTTTTCCCAACTACTGTTATATTTAAAGTAACATTTAAGGCCAGGTGCAGTGGCTCATGCCTGTAATCCCAACACTTTGGGAGGCCGAGGTGTGCGGATCACTTGAGGTCAGGAGTTCAAGACCAGCCTGGCCAACATGGTGAAACCCCGACTCTACTAAAAATACAAAAATTAGCCGGGCATGGTGGTGCGCGCCTATGGTCCCAGCTTCCGGGGAGGCGGAAACAGGATAGTTGCTTAAACTCAGGAGGTGGAGGTTGCAGTGAGCTGAGATGGCGCCACTGCACTTCAGCCTGGGCAACAGAGCAACACTCCATCTCAATAAATAAATAAATAAATAGATAAATAAATAAATAAAATAAAGTAATATGTAAGCTTTAAAACAAAACCTAATAGAATAGAATATAACTTTCTAAACAAAAATATAAGGTCTCCCTTTTTGGTTTCAAAACGGGATGCAACTTTCAATTGTTTCCCATGGTGTGACCGTCATTGGGAAACCATCATTACCTGCTTCCTTAATATAGTGGGGAGCACTGGAAATAACAAGCTCTGGACCCCTTTATACAGTTAACTCAGAGTGCCAAGCAATCACATAGTTGTAGGAAATGGATGTCAGAAGACAGAAACTCAGATACTCACATTCACCTTCATCTTGATCCTTTAAAGAAATGATTTTAAAAAGTACTATCCATATCCCGGAAGACACCAGCAGAAGTCGCAAATCGCTTGGAAAGGGAAATCTTTCTGTAGGAGTTTGTGCAGGAATGCTGTGAGGTCTGGGTCTAAACTTTCTCTGCAGCTGTCTTTGCCTGTGGATGTGGCCAGTGGATCTCTAAGCTCTTGGGGGAGGCTCGCTGCCCTTCCTGCTATCCCAGCCATGGGGAAGGATGGGCTGGTTACATAATATATTCTCTCCCACACTCCCATTGGTTCCCTCCCATCCAAATGGATGCACATAGCCTTCGTGGCTGGTTTATCCATAGAAACCAGGGACAAAGAAGTGAATAAACCTGGTGAACTTGCATATGAGGAGGGATATGAGAGAAAAAGAAGAACTTTAATGCAAAGAGAGTTCCTTACTTTCTTAACACCTCTAAAAATAATCCTGGAGAATGGCATATGCTGTAAATAAGCACAAACTTTAACTGGGTTCTTGAAAACTTTGAACTCTGACCCAGCCAGCTTTGAATTCTTCCTGATGATTCAGATGAAAAAGCCACACTTTAAAGGAACTTCTACAGCTGTAGGAGGCACTGCCTACTAATGGGGCTTTGAGGAGGAGGTTGTGGTCAGAAAAAAATTCCAAAGCCACCCAGTGGAAATGAGGCATTTGCTTCTCTGATAACTGAATACTGTGCTTTTCCAGTAGGTTTGGGTCTTACCCAGATCGACATGCTTTAATATACTTCCCCTACTCGTGGAAACCTTGCTAAGCTGCACTTAAGGCTTCATTTAATTGGCAATTATTTATCAAGCACCTACTGTATGTCTGACAATATACACCAGGGGAACAGGTAACCAGTTTCCTTGATCTAAGCTCAGGATTGAAATGACACAATAAAGGTCTCTCAGGCCTTCACATAATTGATTATCATGTCTGTGGCCCAAGATGGGCCCATGTCATACCAGACTGCATTCTCCAACTCAAAGTGCTCCAGAGATCCTAGTGTGTTCATTCACAGCCTTGCCACTGCCTCCCACTGCCAAGTCTATTCCTTGCCAGCTAAGTCCCTGAGTTATTGCTTAAGATATTTGGTTTGGGGAGCTGTTGGATCAAGTTAAGGGGTTGGCAATTTCACCCGTGCTCATGAAAAACCCACCGAAGGAGGAGGCAAGTAACAGAACTTCTCTGGGGTTCAGCTTCTTCACCTGAAAGTGAGATAGCTTCACAGGGCAATCGCCAAGTTCCCATCCAGCTGCAAAATCTACATTTCCCATGACTTCTTTTCTTACTCTTACCTCTTAGTTCATGAAAGCCATCCGAGGGATTACAGAGAAAATAACACGCAGGTATTTTTCCTCTCTAACTTCCTTTCCTTTCCTTCTCTCTTTCCTTTTTCTTTTTTCGTTTTTTAAGGAAAGAAGTGAGGAAAAGCATAAAGAAAGGAGTTTTATGTTATTTGATGGGTCATAAGCAATTATGCCAACTCCAATTAGAAGAAAACTTTGTCTAAGCATGTGTTTCTCTCTTTTCTTTTCTAGAGACAGGGTCTCATTTTGTCACCCAGGCTGGAGTGCAGTGGCACAATCACAGCTCACTGCAGCCTTGAACTCCTGGGCTCAAACGATCCTCCCACCCGAGTCTTTCAAGTAGCTAGGACTACAGGCATGAGCCACCACACCCAGCTAATTTTTAAAATTTTTTGTAGAGACACAGTCTTGCTATGTTGCCCAGGCTGGTCTTCAAGAGCTGGGCTCAAGTGATTCTCCCACCACAGCCTCCCAAAGTGCTGGGATTACAGGCGTGAGTTACCACACCCGGCCCCCAGCCTGTGTTTCTAAAGCTTTGTGTCTAGCGACTGCCTGCTTCCTGTCATATCCATGTGCCACTACAATTTTTTAGGTAAAATAATAAATTGAGCCAATTAAAAACAACTCTCCCTCAGCAATGTTACCCATGAAATTCCAGGTTTGATGAGCTAGTTTTAGTTTGTTTGAATGTACATCAAGACACACCAGTAATGTAAAAAACTGTGGTGTGCACCACACTTGAAATCCTCTGGCGTGCCCGCAGTCAGGGTCCCTGTAGCGTGTGGTTTTTCCATTTGCTTGACTAGGAAGAATTCAAAGCTGGCTCAAGCTGTTTAATGTATCACAGAGAAATGAGTGAAGGTTCAGGCTTGTTCACTGACTTTTCCATTTTTCTATGGTCATTTTTAGAGGTGCTTCAGGAAAGCAAGGAGCCACTCTGTTGTTTCAGTTTGTCTTCTCTTGTTCTGTTGGTGTGAATTTATTGCAACTCACTAGGTTTGTTTGTTTAGTTGTTAATAATGGACTACACATAAACCCATCCCAACCCTTATTTGGGATACCCAAAGGGAGCTAAGGGAGAATGTCTTATGTAACTGGCCCTGACTCCCAGTGGCTGGCAATCGCCTCACTTTGGGGAACACCAGTGTAAGGAAGGAGCACCTTGAGTTGCTTGTGATTAATTACTGACTCTTGTGCTTCTATTCCCCTTTCAACTGTGGTGAGACTCTCACTTTTGAACCTGGGCTGGGTCTGGTGGTTCACTCCTGTAATCTCAGTGCTTTGGGAGGCTGAGGCAGGAGGACTGCTTGAGCCCAGGAGTTTGAGGTTGTAGTGAACTACGAAAACGCCACTGCACTCCAGTCTGGGTGACAAAGTGAGACCCCGTCTCTAAAAGCAAATTTCTGAACCCAAAGTGAACATTCCACAAAGCACTTTTCACTTACTGTTAACCGGATGGCAAACACCTCCAAGACACAGAGATGACCTGCTCTCTTGCCTCCTATCCCTCCCTAGCCCCACAAAAGACAGACTGCCTGGCCTGTCCAGAACATGTAGAGCAAATGAAAGCTGCTCTTGATGATAAGGTGAAGCAATTGTTTAAAGGAAAAGAACAATACATTCACTAACTCATAAACTCGTGCAGAAACTCTCTGAGTGGCCAGGTAAGTGGCCTAGAATTGCCTGTGAATAACTTCTTCATGATCCACACTCGTCTCCTAGAGGAGCTTGCTTTTGTTTGTTTGTTTTTGAGACGGAGTTTTCGCTCTTGTTGCCCAGGTTGGAGTGCAATGGCGCGATTCGGCTCACCACAACCTCCGCCTCCTGGGTTCAAATGATTCTCCTGCCTCAGTTTCCCAAGTAGTTGGGATTGCAGGCGTGCACCACCACGCCCAGCTAATTTTTGTATTTTTAGTAGAGATGGGGTTTCTCCGTGTTGGTCAGGCTGGTATTGAACTCCCGACCTCAGATGATTCACCTGTCTTGGCCTCCCAGAGTGCTGGGATTACAGGTGTGAGCCACTGTGCCTGGTCTCCTGGAGGAGTTTTAAGAGTGCGGAGCCTGGCCGGGCATGGTAGCTCACGCCTATAATCCCAGTACTGTGGGAAGCTGAGGTGGGCAAATCACTTGAAGACAGGAGTTCGAGACCAGCTTGAGCAACATGGTGAAAAAAACCCCACCTCTACTAAAAATACAAAAATTAGCCGGGCCCAGTGGTGCATGCCTGAAGCCCCAGCTACTTGGGAGGCTGAGGTGGGAGGATCACTTAAGCCCAGGAGGCGGAGGCTGCACTGAGCTGAGATTCTGCCACTGCACTCCAGCCTGAGCAGGAAAAAAAAAAAAAAAAAAAAAGGCAGGATCTCCCACGCCGAGAGCTGGGGATGCTGTCCCGGGAACAGGAGACCACGCACTGAGCTGAGATTGTGCCACTGCACTGAAGCCTGAGTGGAGGGTGCAGGATCTCCCACGCCGACAGCTGGGGATGCTGTCCCAGGGACAGGAGGCCACGCATGTTCTTCTCAGTGTCGACTCTACTTTTCGTAGGTGTGTGTACAAGGCTGGTCTTACCCCTGAACAAACGCTTTAGGGGCGTTATGTTTGGAAATGGTTCCTAAAAAATGTATTTCCTTTTTTTGCAACTCAAGTTGGAGTGTTCTAATCTCCCCCTCCGTGGCAGCCCTCTTACCAGCCTCCCACCTTCCTCCTTTTAAGCTATTTCCCCTTCAGGCCGATGTCATTTCCTTCCTTAGTCATCGCAATTCCAAAACGGCCCTGTTTTGATTCTACGGTTGCTTCCCCATTCCATTATCGCGTCGGCCAAGCGTCTGTCTATGCACAGACCTTTTACGTTTTGGGGTGATGGTGGCATTCCCTTAGCTTTTTTCCCCCTAAGTGTGCTCTACAGGAAATAAAATGTTCAAAGACTACAGGTGATTAAACAGGGGAACCAATAATGAGTATATGATGAATTTTTTATTAGTCATAATAATTATTTACTACATATGGAGACAGGGGACCAGGCACTTGGCCTTGGAAGCATTTAGAACAATGCCTGGCATGCAGCAGGCATTCAATATTTGTTGAAGGAATGAAAGGTACATTGTGTTCCTGAATCAAACATGGCACACATAAATAGAAGCTATCTACTGCTCGATTTACTATTTGTTATGCTCACAACCACTCCCCACCCCACACGGCAACCAGCGGTCTCAAACACCGAAAGTTTTACTTTTTCTAAAGACAGAGTACATGATTCTCCTTCATGTCCATGGAGAAGAGCAGGGCGCCACCCCAGTGGAAAATGAAGCCACCTACACTGAAGTCTCCACATTTACCAGCTTTGGCTCTTTCCTACCTACAGCCCATTTATTGCACAGCAGCCTGAGTGATCTAGAAAACATAAATCAGACCATGTCATCTCCTGCCTTAAGTGGGTTGGTGGTTTCCTTTGCAATTAGAATGGCTTCGAAGCTCTTACACGGCCGACCCGGCCCTATGTTATCTTGCTAACACCTCAGATCTCACTTCCGACCACTCTCTCTCTCAGTTTACTCTGCTTTGACCCCACTGGTTTTTATATGGGCACTCTGCTATGCTGAATGCATTCCCACCGCAGGGCCTTAGCATCTGCTGTTCCCTCTGCCTGGAATGCTTTTCCTATCTCTTGGGTCTTCAGAGTGGTCTTTTCCATCCATCGCCTCCATCAGATCCCCCTGTTTTCTCCTCTTTCTGGCAGTTCTCACCACCTGAAACCATGGGTCTATTTACTCACTGTCATGCTGACTCCACTGGAATGTCAGTTCTGTCTTGATCACCCTGAATCCCCAGAGCCCAATACTATGCATTGGGTGAATGGCTGAGCCATGGATGGTGAGCTGTGTTTTTGAGTTGGGTGTTGTATCTGGGCTGTTTTGCCTCGTGGAATAGATGAAGGGAGGAAGTTGCTGGGAAATGCTGGAGGGAGGCAACAGGTCTTTGTGACCTTGATTTCAATAGCAACAGCTTGCATCTAAGGCAACATCTGACCATGGAAAAGGAGGGGCCAACTGTCAAGAGAACAGGCTGAGTGGTGGCTTAGGCTGAGGCCAGGTAGGGGTTAGAGAGCTGAGAGTCAGGAATGACCTCTGTTGCCAAACACCTGCTGACTAGAAAGTAGTGCTGTTCCTATCCTCACAGCGGGGCTGCAGCCAGGGCTCCACCTGCACTCCCTGTAACCTCCCATTCATTCACACACATTACCACAAAGCATTTATTGAGCATCTACTTTGTGCAGGCACTGCCGTAGGCACCAGAGATGCAGCACGAAATAAGAAAGTCCAGGTCTGTCCCTCATGGAATTTTGCTCCCAGAGAGGAAGACAGATGAACAAATAAAGTGAGATAATTTCAGATCTTAATAAATGAAGGGAAGATAGATGAGAGTGATGGCGGTGGGCCTGTGTAGGGGGGGAAGTGATTTGCACAGCATGGTCCAGAGAGGCCTCTGGGTGAGGTGATGCTGGCTAGAGAGAGGAGCATCCAGGACGGGGAACAGCAGGGGAGAAGGGGAAGGAACTGAGGCAGGAGAGCTGCTGGGAGTGGGATCTAATGGGCCCTCAAGGGACAGGTCAGCTTTCTGCACACAATCCCATTTGCCCTTCAACAGAGACTGAGTCTGAAATGTCTTGCTCACCACCTCAGAGATGCTAAAGGTACAAAGAGAACCTAAAACTGCTCTCCACTCACAAGTGAAGGTTCACCAGGCTTTCTTGCCCAGAAGCACTGAAGCAAGCCAAGTCCCACCACGTGGCAGACATTTCCAAGCCACCACATTTTGTCGTGTTTAAACCAATCTTGAGAATGTGGAAGATTTTACAAAAAATTCTACGTCTGCACCTTGATCTTTCTTGAGTGGGTCCGGAACCATGCCACTCAGAGTTGAGATGGAAGAGAGACAAAAAAGATCTGCTCTTTAATTGAGGCTGAATTTGAAACATGAAAGATAATTAAGCACATTTAAATGTTCTTACAGTATAAATATTGGATCATCCATTCTTCAATAACATAATAAAGATGCTTGCTTGAAAAGTGCCTTCAGAAAACTGAGTGAGCACATAGCTGTCTTTATGAAAGAAAGTACAGATTGTAGAGAAAATACTGTGGAAAGTAGGTTTAAAATAGAATCAAATATCAGAAATTCTCAGAAAATGATGGAAAATAAGTGCCAATGCTTATTTCATTCAGTAATCTTCTTTCAATTCCTGGACATTTACTCCAGTGAGAAAATAATGTTATTA